AGTTTTGAGGAATATCATTCCAAACAAACCAAATTTTGTGTATAGAAAAAATAAATCTCTTAGAACAAAATTTAAGCATAATATCATAGATCCACCAAAACACATTAGTCTATTTCCAGGGTTATAAGGATTTTACCATTGTAACTAATGTAAGGCATGTAAAAATACTTCAAAAAATAAACATAGAGTGGTAAAACAATTTGGATCTACTTCGACTAACCGAGAATATATAGAATATCTTGTGATTACACGCATGTAGTTTAAATTTTAGAGTGTCCTTGTCACTTTGAGTACGTTGGAAGAACAGTTAGAGCTTTGAAAACAAGAATAGGAGAACATATAAATAATATTAAAAAAGGATTTAATAAACATAGTGTCTCGAGACACTTTAAGCTGTACCATAATTGCAATCCAAACTTGCTCATTTTTTGGGGTATTGACAAAATTAACCAGCATTGGAGAGGGAATGATATGTTAAAAGAAGTTTCTAAAAGAGAGACATTTTGAATTGATAACTTAGATACCTTAAGACCACAAGGGTTAAAAATATTGACATTGATCTTAATTGCTTTCTCACAGATTTCTAAATATACTAATGGTGTAATTATTGATAATGATTTTTGTTGGTAATATTTGGAATGTTAGAGTTCTGCTTTAAGACACTGGCCCTTTAATAGTGTATAATATAACGTAATGCCCAAATTGAGTTTGTTTCCAGTTTTTTATGTTAAATTATTATATTGTCTTATTGATATTGCAGTTAAGAGGTATTTTGCCTTAAGAATATAATTATAAAGTATTTGTTCCGGTAATCTGTTCCTCGTATGAGCGGGGTATAAATTGCTGGGCTGCGTATGTAGTGACGTTCATCCTTCCGCTCCGTGAAGACGTCAAGTGACGAAATGTGTAGGGTGGAGCTTCGGACTGACGTCACTACGTTCCATAAGCAGCCGGCGTCTCCGGCTTTCTGTGATGATTTTAATGTGATGCATTTGTTGCTAGTGTCGGCTAGACACTTGACCATGTGAGTGGTTCAGATATCCCTTTAATACAATAAATTTACCATACGGTATTACACTATTGCCTGTTTTGTTTTCTCTTCCTCTTGAGCCTGTGTGAGAGGATTTGGAGAATCTTGTTTTTGGAGAACCTTGTTGCCGAGTTTCCATGCCTGCAGAGTATTGCTCCCAAAAGGATATGAATTGGATATACTAGGAGAGTCTGGCTGTCTGGGGTTTCCTTTACTGCAGAGTATTGCTCCATAAGCTGAGAGTGGAATATATTTGAGAGTCCTGTTGCCACTGTGCCTGTCTGCAGAGTATTGCTCCCACAGCAAAAGTGCAAATTGCTGGTTTATAATATGACTAGCAATATGCTCTGGTGAGTTCATTTATTTCTACTGGTGGTGGATTGTTACACTTTTTTTGTTGGTGATGGACTTTTTTCACATATATTTAAAAGAAAATTCAGAGACATTTTTGTTTTAAATGTGATTTATGTCACATTATAAGTTGTTGATTTTTTTAAATAGCGCTACCTTTTTTTGATTTACAAAATACTCACCATGCTTCTTTTTAAATTCCTTGGAGTGTCTACTTTCCAAAAAGGGGTCATTTGGGGGGGTTTGGTGCTATCCTGGCATTGCAGGGCATTCTGTGATAGGTAGTGAGGAAGTGAAATGAGGAAGTTATGCACCTTCAGGCTTTCAAAGTGGTCATTGGATTTCAGGCTTCTGTACGTGGCTAGGCTCCCAAATAGGTACCCCCATACTCAGTAGAAGTAGCAGAAGGTATTTTGGGGTGTTTTTCCACATATACCCATGGCTTGTGTGAGAAATATATCATTTAAATGACAACATTTTATGTAAAAAAAAAAAAAAACGTTTTTGTCATTTTCCAGAAACTTGTGGAAAAAAAATAAATCTTCCTTGGACTCAATATGCCTCTCAGCAGATAGCTTAGGGTGTCTACTTTCTGAAAAGGGAACATTTGGGGGTGTTTGTACTATCCTGGTATTTTAGTACCTCAAGAAATGTGATGGACAGTCAGAGAAAGTAAAAGCTCTGTAAATTCCATTATCTATACCATAGTTTGTATATGCTATAACTGTCACGATTGCGGCGTCAGACCCCAGACCTTCTCACCAAACTCGTGACCGAAGGACTAGCCGATCTAAAACCGTGATGTCACGTGCGTAACAATGCCACACCCAGCTGCACTCTACACATAGATTTTCCAGCTACTTGGACCACAATTGATGTACCGGCAGCCTGAGCGATTGTTACTGGGTCAGGTTAATTACACAATTAACCCTTCACACTGCCACCACCTCCTTTTTGTACAGAGAAAGAGGAAACACTATAATGGTTGAGGTAATCGTCTGTATAACATGGTTATACAGAGGGTTAAGCAAACACAGTAGCGTTCTCTTTAGAGGCAGGGATTTGTAAATTGCAATAAAGCACTATGGAAACAGTTCAACACTTTCAGAAGGAAAGATGTATTACTAAAAGGTCAAACGGGTGCCATAAAAATATTTACAGAAAAAGATGTAACTAAGATATATATATAAATATACAGAGACTAACAGCACAGCAAAGAGATATCAGAGAGAAGTGAAAGGGTTAAGGTACTTGCCAAAGTCCTGGGTTAGCAGATCCAGGTTTCAGGGCAAAAGGGCACGGGTCTCCCCAGGTGGTATTGATGTTAAAATGAAATACGTCTTCAACTTACTTTTCTTAGGCCTGACAGCCTAATTTGTAGTTCCCCAGCAGGGGGTGTCTCTGAAGTCAAGGGCCAATATCCCGTTTAGGGCATAGAGGTCTGGGCGTGGACCTAAACTAGAGCCAAAATCTTGTGTAGTTCATATTTTGGCTCATAACTTTTCCTATGCACAAGTGACATTCCACCTGCGGGTAGATTATTATGCAGACACGTCTGAGGATTGATTAGACATGAATTATGAAATTATACACTGAACGGTTCACAAGATCTATTTTTTGGCTTTCCTATGTATTCAAGACAAGGCGAGTGACCTATCAAATTGTTTGTCTTCTCTTAGCCAATCTGATGATATGTCTGGTTTTTATGTAAGTCTCTCATATTCCAAGATATGAGACATAGGGGAAAAATGGATTTTTAAAAGTGTTAGCTGGTCCCGCCTTCCATTGGAATGTCTTGAACTCTGGGAAAAGCTTGCCTTATCTTATACGAGGTGTTACATTTTACAGATTCTTCTGACAGCTAGGCCCCTGCTCCCTTGGGGACTTTATAGCTCCTAGCCCCCTGCTGGGCCCTGGCCTCCTGACACTCCTAACACACATACACACTGGCCAAATGTCACTATGACTTTCAGAAAGGGAGGGGTCAGAATGAGGGGGAAATATGTTTGTCAGGATGGTTAACCCCTTTCACACAAAGCAATAAATATACACTTATTGGGATTTTTTTAACCAAAAACATGTAGCAGAATACATTTTGGCCTAAATTTATGATTAAATTTTAGTTTTTTTGGATATTTTTTATGACAGAATGAGAAAATATAGTTTTTTATTGTTTTTTAAATTTAGTGCCAAAAATAAAAAGTACACAGGTGATCAAATACCACCAAAAGAAAGCTCTATTTGTGTGAAAAAAGGACATAAATTTAATTTATGTACCGTATTGCATGACCGCGCAATTGTCAGTTAAACTAGTGCTGCATTGTATAGCAAAAGAATGGCGTAAATTGCAGTATCTACAGTATACCATAGTTTGTAGACGCTATAACTTTCACACAAAGCAATCAATATACACTTATTGGGATTTTTTTTACCAAAACATGTAGCATAATAAATTTTGGCCTAAATTTATAACTAACTTTGAGTTTACTATACATTTTTTATAGCCGAAAGTAAAAAAGTAAAAAATATAGTTTTTCTTCAAAATTTTCGGTCTTTTTTTTGTTTATAGCACAAAAAATAAAAAGTGCACAGGTGATCAAAAAAGGATGTAAATTTTGTTTGGGTACAGCATTGCATGACCACGCAATTATCAGTTGAATTAGTGCAGCGCCGAGTAGCAAAAAGAGGCCTGGTCATTAAGGGGGGTAAATCCTCTAGAGGGCAAGTGTTTAAGCAGCATGTGAGGAACACATATCTGCCTTTGGTGTCAATCAGCTTGTCAAACTCCTAAAAATCCAGGGCATGGTGTACCAAAACACTCACCCCCTATAAGTAAGAGGTGTGAGTGGAGTGGTCCGCCCAACCTATCCAAGAAAAATTTAAACAAGACAATGGAAGTTATTTACTAAAGTTTGAGAGTGCAAAATCAGGTGCGCTTCTGCAGAGAAACCAATCAGCTTCCAGGTTTTATCGCCAAAACGTAATTGAATGAGCTGAGGTTAGAAGCTGATTGGTTACCATGCACAAGTGCACCAGATTCTGAGTGAACCAGGTTTAGTATATCTTCCCCAGTGTATCCTTTGTGAGATGGATTTCATGAAGGGTACATATTGCTGGTACATTTTTGCGGAGGGCAGTAGAGACTATGATGTGTATGAGTGGGTTTTGAAGTCCTCCAGGACAAAATAGGCACTGTGGTCATCATGGTATAGCAGGTATATGATACACAGGTTATGAAATTCTCTTTGTTGGTGTGCAGTATGCTGTGGAGAGGCTGGATCTACAGCTAACTGGTGAGTGCCAGAATAAGGGCAGTGTTGATGCAGCAATGGACTTGGGATGGTTTCAGAAGGACTCGATGAGACCTCACCAGCCAATGAAAAGCAGAATGTGGAGTTCTGGAACAATGTTGATTAGAAACAGTAGTATCATCCAGTCTAATGCTAGGCCTCTCAGCCTGTGGAGCCCACTGTTGAACCCGGTCGACCCAAACTCTGTGTCAGGGCTCCCAGGTGTGACCAGAGGTGTGTGACTGACGCAGGGAAACGCAGACTTCAGATATGTGATAAACAATATAATTTATTAACACTAACCATACAAACATAAACGCAGTGCAATACTAAAACATAATACAGTGCAAACAAACCAAACCGACCACCCACAGATAACAGTACATACAAGCAAGCGTCGTCAGGCAGGCCGGGTCAATATCAATAGGGCAGGTAGGTACAGGGGGAGCAAGCGGAGATGGGTCGGGGTCACAGGCCAGGTTCAGCAGGTAGCTAGCAGCGTAGTACAGAGGGTCAGGCAGAGGGATGGTCAGGGTCACAAGCCAGGGATCAGAACAGGTAGCAAGCAGCGTGGTACAGAGGGTCAGGCAGAGGGATGGTCAGGGTCACAAGCCAGGGATCAGAACAGGTAGCAAGCAGCGTGGTACAGAGGGTCAGGCAGAGGGATGGTCAGGATCACAAGCCAGGGATCAGAACAGGTAGCAAGCAGCGTGGTACAGAGGGTCAGGCAGAGGGATGGTCAGGAGCGAGCCGGGATCAGAGCAGGAGAAGTCAGCAGCGGTTCAGATCAGGCAGGGTCAGCAAAGGACCAGAAACAGGATGCAGGACAGATACAGGGCCCAGGACAAACACAACACCAAGGCAGAGTCTGCAAGTCTGGCCATCCCTTAAATACACCAGTATCATCAGTTCCAGGTGTTAGCTGGCTGAAAGGTTGAGTCTCTGATTGCTGGGAGCACCCGCTGGCCAGCCCTGGTACTGCAGATCAAAAGGCAGGTGAGTCCCAGCATTGCTGGCCAGTCCATTCCTGACACTCTGGATGCTGACTGTTGAACTCTGTCAGCAAATCGAGCTCTGCGATGCTGTACTTCAGTTGAGAAATCTGGGTAGGAGGATATTCCGGCCACATTGAATTGGATATTGCGATGTTCTCTGGCTAGACTGAGAATGATTTCCTTATCCTTGTATTTATTTTTTTATTATATCTTTATTAGTTTTATAATACAAAATAAACTTCATATCAAACATCATAAAACACAAATTTCACAAAATGTATCTATACCCTTCCTTCTTTCTACCCCCCCCCCCCTTCAAATGTACCTCTTTTCCTCTTATTGTTTTCTTTTACTTCTTGTTCCTCTAATACTGCTTCCATCTAACTTCTTACCCTCTTCTCCTTCTCTCTTACCCTTCTACATACTCCTGTTTCCTTTCCTTTTTCTTTCCTTGTTCTTTACACTCCAACCATTTCTAAGTATCTTTTTGATTTTTTAAAGTCATACCATCTTCCCCAAAATTGTTTAAATGTTTAAATTTTATCCTCGTCAATATGGTATAATTCTTCTATTTTATACATATACTAAACTCTGTTTAGCCAATCTTTTATTTTTGGGGGCTTTATTGCTTGCCTGAATTTGGGAATGAGACCTTTGGCTGTGTTTTTTAAATTAAATTGTATATTCTTATATTGTTTCACTGAAATCTCCAATTTGTGCAATAAACAAACCCACGGATCTATCGGTATAGTAATCCCCAGTATCTCCTGTATGTATTGAATTATCGCCCACCAATATTCCTGTATTTTAGGGCAATCCCACCAAATATGTGCTATTGTCCCCTTAATCCCACACCCCCTCCAACACAAAGGTGAGAACTCTGGTCTTTGGTGTGTGTGCCACATTAGGTGTAATATACCATCTTACTAAATATTTATAATTCATTTCAACTATATTCATATTCACCGCCCCATGTGTTAATTTAAACATTTTATTTTTTTTGTTGCTTGTTCAATTTTGTTCCCATCTCCTTTTCCCACTTATCCAAGAAAGATTGGGACTCAGATCCAGCTAATTCAGTAAGGATCTGGTAAATCCTAGAGGTGAAATGTTTTTGAATTGTATTTGAACTAAACATTTGTTCCAAAGGATACATGTCTTCCTCTGGCTGCAGGAGCATAGCAACAAAATGTCTTAATTGGTAGTACCGCCAATCATCCAATATAAAAAATACTTCCTTTTTACCCTTTAAATCTTGAAAAGAACATAATTCCCCCTTATCTACAATATTTTTTAAACATGCATTTCTATCCTTTATCCATTTTCCTGAAATGTTATCATTACCTGGTGGTAAATATTTTTTTTTCCCACGAGCGGGATTTACAGTACATCCAATCCATTTGCTTATACATTACATCCCAAATCCTCAATACATTCTGTGTCAAAGTGTTTGTATCTTCATGTAGTGTAAGAAGCTTATGTGGTAACCAAATAATCCTATCTAAAAATGATAATAAAAATAATAAAGCGCAAATAATACAAATAATCAAAACTGTGAAAAATTATATGTGAAAGTCCAAAGAAAAAGTCCCAAATTAAAGTCCAATGTCCCAAAAAATGTGAAAAAATTATTATTTACTCAAACTTTATACAATTTCAAGCTTGCTCACTTCTGCTGTGAAAAGCATTTTGTCGATCCACACTCACCAAATGCTGTGAATTCCCAAACTGGTATGGCTTTAAGATGCAAAAAAGGCAAGCCTGTAAGTGGGGTGTGGTGTCCTCACAGATGATATTACTCTTTATGCGATTTCACACTGACTCTCCTTCCCAGATGTTCCTCATATAGCGAAAAACATAAAAGAAAAAGATGCCAATGATATATTGCTATATACCGATAAAAAAATATATTTTAAAAAAATGCAAAAAGACACCTTCCTTACACTCACATAAAGTAATTAAGCCCCAATTTCCATAGGGTAATTTGATGTCCCACATCACAGATGGTAATCCACACTTATCTTCCTGAAACTCTCACTCCTGGATGGATGGATAGGGGTACTTTATGACCAGTTAGTTACTCTCAAGTTAACTTCCAACCCTGTACGTGTGATGTCACTTCCAGTGCGGTGTTCTGCGGCCATCTTTAGTGTGGGCAAAGAGGTCTGATTTTACAATTTTGCTAGTCCTTCATTGCCAAAGCTGAGCAATTGTGTCTGCCTAGCCTTGTCAGAGTTGCTATTGGAACATGTTTTATGAGTCTTGATTTATATACAAAAAGGCTTTTTATTCAGTTTGAAAATGTGAGTGCATTTGGAGCATCACTTGAGTATTAAATAGTTTTTAACAGTATTACGCTATTTTGGTATTTTTCCTTTTGCATTTTTCTCATCCATCCATCCATGAGAATGCATTCGGGGTAAATTAAGGAGGAACCATGAGCAAAGGCTTGAGAGTAACTAGCTGGTCATAAAGTATGCCTATCCGTCCATCCAGGAGTTTGGAGGTAGATAAGGGGCTTTATTACTTTGTGTGAGTGTAAGGAAGGTGTTTTTTTTTGCATTTTTTTATAAAATATTTTTTCTTTATCGGTATATAGCAATATATCATTGGCATCTTTTCCTTTTATGTTTTTCGCTATATGAGGAATATCTGAGAAGGAGAGTCAGTGTCAAATCGCATAAAGAGTTATATCATCTCAGTTTTGATTATTTGTAGTATTTGCGCTGTATTATTTTTATTATCATTTTTTGATGTTTAGTCAATCCTTGAACAGCAGCATTTAATTTTTCACTTAATTTTTCACTTATTTCCTTGGCGCAAGTTTGATACATATTTTAAATAATCCTATCTAGTTGTGATTTATTAAGTGTGCTCTCCATTTTAACCCAACTTCTTCCCCGTGAAATATATATCCTATCTGCTGTTCGTGACATTAACACTAAGGTATAATATCTCTTAAAATCTGGCATGTTTAATCCCCCCTTTCATTTTGTTATTGCACAAGACTTCATATTTAACTCTTGTTTTTTTATTAGCCCATATATACCGAAGTATCATATTTTTAAGAGTCGTAAAGAAAGACCCTGGTAAATATATTGGGAGCATGTTGAGCTTATACAAGACTTTTAGTACTATTATCATCTTTATCATATTTATGACCTATCCAGGGCAGCATTCCCGTTGAAGTTTTCCTCAGTTCATCCTTAATCTCATTTATTAGTGGGATATGATTTACCTGATATAGGTACATATTTTACACCTTCCTGCCCAGGCCAGTTTTCAGGTTTCAGCGCTCTCACACTTTGAATGACAATTGCGCGGTCATACAACATTGTACCCAAACTAAAATTTTTTCATTTTCTTCACACAACTAGAGCTTTCTTTTGGTGGTATTTAATCACCGCTGGGGTTTTTATTTTTTGCTAAATTAACAAAAAAAGACCAAAAAGTTTGAAAAAACACATTTTTCTTTGTTTCTGTTATAAAAGTTTGCAAATAAATAATTTTTCTTCATAAATGTAGGCCAAGATGTATTCTGCTACATGTCTTTGGTGAAAATAACCCAAATTAGGATGTATTTTTTAGTTTGTAGGAAAGTTATAAAGTTCATAAACTATGGTATAGATCTGAATATTGCTCAATCCTGAAGTACTGACTGCCAATCTAATTTCTCGAGGTCCAAGAATGTCAGAAAAGTACAGATATCCCCCAAATGACCCCTTTTTGCAAAGTAGACAGTCCGACGTACTTCATAAGAGGCATGGCGAGTTTTTTGAAGTTGTATTTTTTTTGTCATAATTTTTCGGAAAATGAAAAAATTAAAAAAAATTTGTTTCACTATTTTTTTTTTTTACATATTGTCACCAGTGCAGTACAGCGTCATCATATAACTGGCATGGCGGTGATCAGGGACACTGACTGGTGACAGTATGAAAAAAAAATATATATATATATTTTTTTTTATTATTTTTATTTTTTATTAATTTCTTTTCTTTTTTTAAGATTTTTTTTTCATATTTCACTACTTTTTTTTACACAATTTGCTTATAGCAGAGAATTACTTTGCTATAAGCAAGCATTTACCTGAATGACATCGATTCATTCAGAGTTTTTTTTTTTTTGTGCTTAGCTGTGATTTGGCCACAGCTAATCACATGACATGTGCATCCATTGTATACAACTGTCATGTGACCTGCTGTGATTGGTCACAGCAGGTCACATGGTACCGGCAACGGGGGCCGATACTCAGATCTGTCATCGGCCGTGTCTGAGGTACACGGCCGGTGACAGATCGCGCCACTGCGCGGCTCTGCAGGAGCGCAATCTGCGCATGTGCGGGAGGACGCCATATGGCGTCCACCCGGAACGCTGATGACATTTTCCGGCCGCCATTCGGCCATAGGGTGGGCGGCAAATGGTTATAGACAGGGTTATTTTTATTCCCAAGTACTTTAATTCTTTTTCCCCTCCATGTAAAAAGAAATTATTTTTGCAGGATCTGTTTCTCTGTCCTTGGAACATTAATATTTAATATCTCTGATTTTGAAGGAATAATTTTCAGGTTTGATAACTCTCCATAGTATATTAATATTCTCATTAAATTAGGTAATGTTAATCTAGGGTTTGTGATATAGAACAGCATATCATCTGCATATGCTGCAACTTTATGTTCAACATCTCCTATCCAGATTCCTTTAACATCTACATTGTTTTCTTACCGTCACTAGTAGCGGTTCTAGAGATACTGTATTACAAATAGCAGGGGACAGAGTGGGCATCCCTGTCTTGTTCCATTATACATTCTAAGAAAACTTTGACAGTTACCCATTGAACTTCACCACTGCTGATGGACGCTATATAAATTTTCTATCCACTGTAACATTTTG